TAATAACAATAATACGTGCAGTAGCTCTCGCTCGTGTGGACATAAAATCGTTCTATAAGCCTAAATACACGTGCATTAGTTTCATTGTATACTCGCCGTCATCCCGTTTAAAAAGAGGGGGAAAAAAAAGAAAACTAAAAAGTATGATCCCGGGAAAACGACTACGCGCACACTGCACTAGAAATCTCGCCTCCACCACTGCCACTGCGTATTATATACACGTGTATGTACTACTTATATGCGGTGTTAGTCCGACTCCGGCTGAAAATTCGAGAGAGAGAGAGAGAGACGCGAGATGGTAGAAATAGAGGAGGAGTGTTACTACCGTATTTTCATCCACCACCACCTCCTCCTCCTCCTCCTTGTCCTGTTCTTCTAGTTTCCCTGTGCTGTGTCATATAGAGGCCCCGGGCGGCCGGGGACTGCCCAGCACCTGATGGTCGTCGCGCAGGTCGTCCTATTCCATATGATAAACAGTTTAGCAGCACCTCGTTGTCGAATACTCGTGGGGCGACTTCTTGTCCGCTCGTCACGCCGTCGTCGTCGGATCGTTCGTGTTGTATCGGGTAGTCTTTGGACGCCAGCTGCTGGTGCCACTCGCGGATCCGCGGCAGTTGACCCGGGGTTCTGCAGCGCGAGCTCCTATTTCGCCCCCCCCAGCGGCTACGCGTTTTCAACAGCCGTCGGAGCAGCAGCTGTGACGGTACAGCCGACGCGAAGAGGAGCTTTTGCGCCCGGCTGGTGGCATTATTGCGACTACTCGCGCCGACGTATGCTGCCCTCCTCTTTTCTCTCGGGCGTCGCGACGCTCTCGCGGACATGCGCCGTAGGTTTGACAGACAGCACCAAGCGGCGGCGGTAACAATTTTGTGTTCCACCTTTTTTGATTGACTAACGTCGCCGATGAGAGCCCCACTGGCTCGCGCCACCTGATATTCTTTTGGCTAATGAGTAGGTAATTTACACCTGGACTTTCCGAGGAAGTGCAAATTTTGCAGCCGAAAAAAGGGGAGGGGAAATTGATTTACGCGGACAGAAACATTCTTGACTGATTTATTCATTTAGTTATTGCGGCCGCCGCAATGCTCGAAAATCAATCGAGTGATTTTCTTCATTTATTTATATGCACCCTAAACGTTTGATTGATACCCGTCCATTAAAATTATTATTATTATTATTAGAGAGCAAGCAAACACTATAATACAATGAAGATGTGCACGGCGAGTGACAGTATAGCCCCATTGCATTCGACTTTTTGATAAACTTAATTTTTTCAAGCCTTCCTTTTAGCTACTTTTACAAGCATGAAAGTAAAATTGACCAGTTTGGTAAATTGTTTCTGACGGAGAGACAGTAAGCAAAAAAAAACAAAAAAAAAAAACAAAAAAAAAAAACAAAAAAAAACAAATAAAATTAACAAGATAGAGTCAAGATCCTCAGTACCTATTAGTTGTGCATTATCGTTCAGAGGGCGTATCCGTTACGCAACATAAACTTTGTACAAAGTAAAGTATACACCAGCATGCGTTTTTGTAATATTTTCCCATTGAGATTTCAATAGCCGATCGAACAAATGAGCTCGTCACTTTTATTACTGTCAGGCTTGGATTTTCTAAAGGTAGAGCAAATATTTCCCAATGAATTATTAAAAAATCATGATATTCGATGTGTGTAGTTATGTGACGATGGAATGAAATAAAAAATAGAATCGAAAGAAAGAAAAAAGGTGATGTACTATGAGACCCATTTGGCTGCACTACCAAGAAAAAACCTAAATGATACTTAAACCGATATCTGTCGAGCATCTTTCAATCCAGGGTTAAAGTGACTTTCTGTGCTAATTGGATTTCGTCTGAACGGTATGTGCAGTAAGAAGAAAAAGAAAAAAAGACAAGAAAACTACTGGGTTCGGGGGGAGACAATATCAAATGGATTTCAGTACAGTAGGCCACAAGTAGATGGGTCGACGCGATGAAGCGAACGTAGAAGACGAGGCGGACCGTATTGGTAAGTGTAGATGTAGAGCGGTAAGAGCGAGAGGGCCTCGGTTTCTCTAGGCTGCTAGCTAGCCGGAGCAACTATTTTTACCATGGGGTGCGCGAATCATTGTTCCCCGACCCAAGAAAAGGAGAGGAAACGCACACTGCCGGTGCTGCCACGAGACGCAATAGTACACCTAAGCAGAGGCAGTAGAACAGAACAAGTCGACTAGGCCGACCAGCGAGTTCAAATCATTTATAAATACCTATAAGTAGTGAAGAGAAGAGTCACACGTCGCTTGCGCGGAAAAATCCGTGTATTAGAGTTTATTCTCACTCGATATAGCATCCACGCTTATGGGCAGCTGATGCTCATTCTTCAATTTTTCGCCTAATTCCGTATAATTCCCAACAATTTGTATTGTCGATGGGCACATCTGATGATGATTATGGGGATACCCTCGAAGGGGAGAAAAAGTTAATCAAACGCGCTCACTGCCTGCTCGTAGCGTAAATACATTCCGAAAATTGTTTGAACTCTTATCCCATCTTCACTGTAATCGAAGAAAAAAGAAAAAATAAATATCATTAGTGCACTGTTTAACAAGTTATGCAGCGGTTAGGTAATAGAATTCGTGAATGCTTAGCAAAATAAAATATACAGATTAGAACCCTGTGAACGATCCGAGGTCGGAAAAATGTGTGATTCAATTGCGAGTGAGATGGACAAAAAATAGGAAAAAAGGTGGAGGAGAAGAAAGCGACAGCCAAGAAAGTTTATTATTCTTTCTCGTGAGCACATTTGCAAAAATTTGCATTTTCCTCCCTCTTTATTCGTCCAGGGTCATTCAATTTCAGGAAAAAAAAAAAAAAAACTCCATTCCCGAGAGAGAGAGAGAGAGTAAGTAACGCAGCAAAAACAACACACGAGCACACCAGTGTAATGACGTGTGATTGGGATTGTTCACCTTTCTTGATCAACTATCTGCAGTGCAGCTCTACTCTTTGGGCCCGAAGAAGCACAATCACTGTGCTAGAGGGGAAAAAAGAAATAATAATAATAATATTAATAATAATAATAATGTACATATTATCATTATTATTATTATTATTTTTGTTCAATAATAATAACAATAATAATAATAATAATAATGATAATATGTACATTACTCGAAATCACCTTTTCATTCGTTGCGTCTCAAATTATTTTGTTTCTAGGGTTGCAAAAAAGTTAGGCAACTCGCGTCGCTATTCGTACCTTTTCTTTTAACGTCCATTANCCTCTTTTTTTATTATTATTATTATTATTATTATTATTATTATTATTATTATTATTATTATTATTGTGAGTGAATTTTTTAACAATACGTAGGTACTTGAGCGTCATCTGCGATTAAGTTGTAACTCAAGTACGAGGCCTGGCTCCCCGGCTAGTAATGTGCGCATACGTAAAAACGTTATCCATAAAAACGTCGATTCGTATTTTTTTTCACTCCATGTGTAGTACAGATATGGTTTATCATGTTTGCCTCATTTTTAATTATATATCTTTGCGAAATTTAACGCTCCAATTGGACTGTGAGTGATATTTACAATTGACGATAAACGTGCTGAAATTTTTCGACTAACTCTATATCCACGCGTGTTCATTTTTTTCCCACAAAGATTTAAACATACATCAATTTTTATTGAACAACCTGCTTGTACAATTTTACCATATTTATTATTTTTTATTCATAATTTGCAAGTTTCTTTTTAAAACATTCATGCATAATGTCATTGGGGAAATAATCTACATTTTGGTTATCGACCTGACAACGAACTTTCATCTACTTACAAATTTTCTGATGCATTCCAAACTTTTGGCACAGTAATCCGTACAGTTCAACATGCCTACTTTATTTTTTGACTGATACTTGCGTAATTATTAAAAAAAAAATCAAAATCTTGATGATATCATTCTTTGACCAACAGGTCGATAATTATGTTGTGTGTGTATGTGTGTATGAGAGAGAGATTAAGCATTTTTATACTCGCTGTTGGTACACATGAAAAATATACTTATATAAATGATAAATGTATGTACCTACGTGCGAATAACAAAACAACAGAAGTCTAATTCACATAATAAGTATAAATAAATGAGGAAGCATTAATGCCGTCCCAGGAAAGAAAGTCGTTAAGTGCACTTTATTCAGAACTGAAAAAATCGAAAAAAACTAATATTGTTCAAAATATGATAAAAATGTAACATTTTAACCGTAGAAACTTACGCTCTGTCCTTACTAACTTACTGTCAGATCAAAGTTTTTCTTAACTTTAGTAACATTCAATAAATTATTACAAATAATTAAAAAACTGCTCATGATTTTTACAAACATAGTTGGATTGGAAATCACCTTACGAATCGATTGATATAAAAAACTCATTTTCGACCAAAATGTCACTTAACGACTTTCTTTCCTGGGACGGCAGATTACTTGTTACTAACAGGTATATAAAAATATTATGAAAATTATTATGTAGCAAAGGTAATAAGACAGTGCACATTGTGTGTTTCACTTGCAGCTGTTTAGCTATACGGGCATCCGAGACCTTGTTACCAATACAAATCTCCTATATACGCTATTATAGGCAGCGAGTACAGCACGCTGTAAGCGCGAGTGCAGCACGTAAGTACCGTTCACGAAGGGTGTCAAGTTTCCACCGGTAATGGAATTATATCTTCTGCCCCCCCCCCTACCTTTACCCTGAAACCGTCTCTCTTTTTCACCGACTCTTTCTCTCTTTCTGCGGTGGGCGCACGAAATTGATTTCTCCCGTGCCAGTGTGCACTTAACAAACGCGTTCAGTACGTCCCTTGGTCGTCGACAACGACAACTCGTTGTTAGCGTGTCGAGAATCTTGTAAGTTCAGATATAGACTACTTGATATTTTTGTTGTTGTTGTTGTTGTTGTTGTTGTTGTTCGGTTTTTACCATAAAAAAAAAAAAAAAAAAAAAAAAAAAAAAAAAAAAAAAAATCGTTAAATTCCATTAGTTTGAGTATTTAAAAAATCAGACCCTCAAATTTTATCATCGTGCTAGTCACGTCTCGTGTTCGTCGCTTTGTGCCTCGAGACCATATATCACATCAATCCCCGAAATGAAAGCAATCTCGAGGAAAAAGAGATAGCGCCACGCGGTCCGTTATATAAAAAACTTTTCAACCGAGCTGTACCTACCTACTTGGTATACACACTGTCCATTCAAATATATATATATATGTGTGTGTGTGTATATGATATGGCCCTGTTAAAGCCAGGCGGTGGTACCACACACAGACGCTGAGTAACCGCCAGAGGAAACGTGTCGCTCCACAAGTCAGATCGGATTTCCCATTTCCGTGCATGAGAACCGATCGCGCGCCGCACCTACATCTACTACTACTACTCCTTTTTCTTTTTCCCCCTTTATACGATCGGCAATGTCGGTATATCTACTAGACAGTAATAATAACCAGCTTCTGTCCAGTGAGGAGCCGGATGCCTCCGAGTCGGAGAGCGTCGTGCTTACCAGGATAAACAGCTCGAGTTCCATGGAGGTGACTTCCCCGCTCGGCTTGAGCTTTTGTGCTCTGAGTCAGCGCGACGTCCCCCTGAGCCTCGTCGTCACCGGTAAGCATCAGGAAAAGTCGGCAGCTACGGTTGGCGAGCCAACAAAGAAGAGGCGCCAGATCGATGATGGGCCAAACGCGTCGGACGCCTGCAGTCTGAAGATCCTGACGCTGGACGAGGTTGCGTGGCACGATACCGTCGACGATTGCTGGATCGTCGTTTACGACTACGTGTACGACGTGACCGGCTTTGTCAACGCCCATCCGGGGGGCGAAGACGTGCTGCTCGAGTACGCCGGTAGGGACGCGACTTTGGCCTTTGTGGGGACCGGTCACTCGAAATCGGCTACGAGAATAATGGAAAAGTACCTGGTCGGCGAGTTACCCCCCTCCGAGAGGATATTCCGCACCTCGAACGGTATTAAGATTGCCAATTTTGCGTGACATGGCCAACAAGTCATTATTAACTAATGCGTAACTTTATAAAGGTAAATAAATAATAAATATAAATAATCCGTATGTAGTTACCAGTGCGCGTCAAGTTTCAATACAAGTTGTTGCCGTATAAGCCAATATTTCATTAGTGCGTGCGGAAAATGAGATGCCGATTGTCAAGGCTACTTACTTACTTACTTACTTACTTACTTACTTGTTGTTGGCATGCAACCGCAAAGAAATGTGTGATATAACTATATTATTGGTGTTCACATGAACTTGATCCTTTACTGCGACTATTATTCTAGAGTTGATGATTAATGTAACACAAGCTCTTACAGAGTGCATATCCTGCTTTAATACCTTTTTTTTTAACCAATTTTACTGTTACTCGTACATAGGTGCAACGACATTTTATAATATTTGTAATTACTGCTGGTTCCTCCACTCATGTAGGTACACTCAGTTGAACTCTGATCTGTCCCGCACCCTATTTCAGAACTATGGGGTGAAGTACTGTTCAATAATAGGGTCCGGGATAGAACAAAGTTCCACTGACTGTACGTCGCCATACGAACGTTCGTTCGTATGTTGTTGGTGTTCTCGTATACTTTTTGTTGTACTTTTTTAATCGTAGATTTCAGTATTTATTTCCAGACGGCATTTATGCTTCGATATCATAGGAAAAAAAAAAACCAAACTATTCTCCCTCTGATACCGTGTCATTTTCCCATTACAGTCGATATAATTAATTGCTCTATTCATTTTGAGTGTAAAAAAAATTGTAAGACTTGTGACTGAGCGTTTCATCGTATCGTAATTAATGTAGTCAGAAAACTTGTTACTTACCAATAAATAAATTTCTTTATGGAAAAAAAAAAGAAAAAAAAAACCATTGCTTCCTTGCTTTGTCCATTATATAAGCTTTTCCATAGTTTACTGATTGTAGTGAAACAAAAATGCGCAAAAATGGCACAAATAAGTTCCAGTGAATACTGTTTTTTTTTTTTTTTTTTTTTTTTCGTGCACTCAACAATATCAAAGGCAGTTGGTATAATAAGATATTTTATTTGTTGTATACACTTGCACTTGTATGTGTAGCCAATTATTGAAGAAAAACAATCTGACGTAAGTACATATAAAATAAGGTATGGAGTTTTTTTTAAATTTTTTTTATTTTCCTACACTAACCACTGATACGCGTTATAGAGCAAGTGCAAGAGCGAATTCAAGAAACCCTATAAAGTTCGCAGCCTTGGACGAGATGGTCGAGTTCCCACAAGACAGTAGCTCCAATCCACACCACACGATGAAACAAAAAATAATGATTAATTGAAAATTTGATGGGTTTATTAAATGAAATCGTGCGTGTTTCAGCTCAAATGTTTTGTATTTCTTGGTCCTCTAAACATTTATAGTACACAACATGTAATACAACTTAAGTTACAATGTATATGAGAGTAAGTTACATTGTTAATAAGTTTCATTATTTTTACCCTACAAACTGCACAATACGCATTGTTTGTTTACGTAAAGTTATCGTTATAGCTATTATACAATAGACTCTCGGTGTTAAATATTCGAGTAAATGTTACTATTAATAAATATTGGCATCTCGATGACTCTTAGCATTGGCCACGCAATCGTAGATAAATTAGCCTCCGAAACAATACTTACAAAAATACACGTTTCCCGTAAAAACCGTACTTTCTCTCTTATACTTTTTTTTTTCCTCCCTTTTATTTCACTTTAGCAAGCATTGTCAATAACAGTATTTATTCGTTTCTCAACATTTGGGTATTCGTTCCGAAAAACTTATGCGTATCTAGCTTGATACTTCGCATTTGCGTTTACAAAAAATAATCCCAAAATCATAAATTGTACCAGACATATGCATTAATGCAATATTTATTTAACGTATACTTTTTGGAAATAGTACTTTTTTCAACGATTCGGAAGTAGGATTACCATTAGTATTTTACTTACAATGGCAGATGTATAAATAAACTCCAAATAGGCATATTTTCAAAACTAGTGCTCTTGATAATTAACGGGTTATTTATCACGCAAGGCTTCAATATACATGTTTGTTATACCTTATTACAAAATAAAGTACAGATATTTATAAAATACGTACGCTTCCAATTATGCATTTTATCAATTGCTAAAAAATATTTTACCAAGTTTTTCCAATACAATTGTTGTGAAGGTTCAAAAATTACCATGCTTTTATTTTTAAGTTTTATTGAATTCCATCATGTGCAATTAAATATTACAAATACTCGAATTGTCCAAAGCATATTTAGATATTTTAACTATAAAACTTCCTTGTTAATTAACTATTATTAATTATTAATGATTTTTTTCTCTGATTTGAATTAAAAGAAAAATTCCAATCATAAGATTAATTACTCTAAGGAAATAGATTTTTATTACTTTTTAATCGGATCATTTATCGAATCCGTGGCCTTCTTTCTCTTTGCAGTACTTTCACCGTCGCGCATTTCAATTTTTACTGATTACACGTGACATTTTTTCAATAAAAATATTCTCTTTCGTCAATGAAAATTCAATTTTTAAAAATATATTCTTCATATTACTGTAACAATGGTTAGGTAGGCAAACCTACGTAGTTAATTAGATCTCCATAATGTATACGCACATTCAATAGAGTATTATTTCTGCGCCTTTGTTATCATCATAATTTTTTTTTTTTTTTTTTTTTTCAAACACGTAATACCATAGAATGAGATAACATCCCTTGTTACATATTTCATGATATTTTTCATTCACGAAAAATATGAGCCACACTAATTAAATATCAGAGTTAGCATGTGTTATCTTACATTTTAGAATATCTGCTCTCCTGGCAGTTCTGTAATACAATTTTCATTGTACTTATATACGCTTTTATTTCATATACAATCTGAGGTGTACAGTTATAATTTACCAATCAGACATGTGTGCGCTTAGACATAACGCATATCAGACTTTTCAATAATAATAAAAAAATAAACATATACTACACTCGACTACATAACCCAGATTTAAATAACCCAGTTGAACATCAAATTGAAGTTATGCTTATAATAAATACACGCAAAGTACATCCACGTGCATGGGTACTTTACTTTAATTTTCATATCGCAGGTAAAAATTTCAATAACGACTTATCTACATTTTTTAATAAAAGTCAAAGTGATCAAGATGCTCGAGATGCTTCTGCTCATTAATTGATTTGTTTCAGCCAACACATAAGTACGTCGTAAGATAAATTTTTATATGCCATTTGAAAATTCGTCGTTGTACGCATCTTTAACTTGCGTACCAGGTTTAAGTAGTTCGTAACAGTCTCTAAGTATGTTTTTAACTTTTTATTTTTATTTATTTATTTTTATTTTTATTTTTTTCTTTTCAATTTGGGTACTCTTCACTCAATATACTTACACACCTTCCGTGTAAAATGAACATCCGGTGCAGCGGTGGTGTCTGAGAGCGTGTACCCTATAATATCACGAAAAATTTTTACCATTTCCCACAACTTTTCGACATTTCGTAAATATTTATATTTTTGTAAGCAGCGTCAAACAAACAGTAGGTGATACGACTTTGTGAGCGATAACATATAAAACTACAAGTACAATTTTTTTTTATCACGATATTTTGGTGCCATCGCGATTCGTAGCCACATTAACTTTGACACCAAACGATGACTAGCATACAGTTTCACTCATTACGTAAAACATATATAACGTATTTTTCATAGTTCGACCAGATAAGATAACGACACAATATTATGTTTCTCGCTATAATTATTATTTTGATAATGACTTTTTAAAAAATAATTATTATTTTCTTTACACATATATACACATGCTGTAATGAGATACCTAATTATTTCCTTTCGTGCAATTTCTTTGTAGATTATGCTTCGGATTACGTGATCTTGCGTTTCAGTGTAGGTACAACCGAACAATACTTATGAGGTTAAAAAAAATGATTGCATAATTTTATTCTTTGTTCATCTTTTGTCAATAATAATAGTAATAATAATTATTATTATAATGCATATACATCTAAAAATATATATTTGTTATGTAATAGCAGAAAAATAATTTTTGTTTCTCTTACTTATAATCTATGTACGCAATCAGGAGTTAATTTTAACATTTCGCCGCACCTTTCAGTTGCTCTTTACATCAACTAATTATACCTATTCGAAATGTTTAGTTGTCGGAAGAATGAAGCAGTCATAGGGGTAACGGGTACAGTTGTTGACCTCCTGATAGTGATTGACCGCCACATGTATTTTTAAATGGAGCCTTTATACATAGATATACAAATTATACAGGGGTCAATCACTACCTTAAGGTGTCAATAACTGTACCGTTTACCCCTACGGGGGACAGATAGTGAATCATATATTTATACCCTTGAATATAAACAAAAAAGCAACCGCAGGTTCAAGCAATTCTATATATATTACCGCGAAAATAAATAATTGGTTGTACGGGCGCCGAGAAAGATTTATGCATGTATTTTTGGCCCCTTGAACGACAAAAATTTACCAGAAATATACACGCATCTAGGTGTATACATACCGTGAGTCCTATCATATACTTGTGCGTCTAAGGACTCATACCAACAATAATGCTCACGCAGAAAATTCAAGCTCAAAATCGAAGGATCTTTTTTGGCCGGGCTCGGACGTAGTTACAAATTTTAAAAACAATGCATGGGCATATAATATAGGTGGAAACAGTATAGGGTACGCAGCTTTTTGGATCGAACAAATTTTGATGGTGGGTATATCGTTTTTTTTCGATTGAAACGAGCCTCAGTGTGCAACAGGGATAACGCGTATACGCGCGAATGGTACATGACGATGAAAAGTAGAAAAGGGCGGCGTCTGTCTAGGAACACTGACTATCCCCTCGCCTTCCCCCAAACGTTGACTGTCGGTGCTCCTTACCTTTCTCCCCCCCCCCTCTGTTCATATGGCGTGTGTTTGTGTAAAGCTTTTACATGAGGCTGCAAAAGGCAACGCCATTTTCAAAGGCGGACTGAATCGCCGTCGTCTCCATGCAAAAGGCGCCGTCCTCGTAAGCGATGCGTTGCTGGTTCGCTCGGCTCTCGCTCTGCGATCTGTCCGAAAATAAATTAAATTTCTTTCAATACTAACTCTCCCTCTCTTGGGAGGATATTTTTCGACCCCATGTCGCGTGTACGTGATGCGGAGGGTTAAAAATGATTGATATTTTTACGTGCCCCACTGAAAAGGAGTTTTTCCTACTGTTGTACCAACACGCTCGGAAAAATTGTTCCTTTCAATGGTGGAACGACAGAATGTGAGAGAGATGGATATTAGATTAGATTGAATTTCTTTATTTGATGTCTATAGGCTCGAGGTCCATAACAGCCATGACCAAGTAGGTAAGACATTATTAATAAAAATAATAATAATCATACAAATAAATAACGATGATTGAATAAGATACGGTAGGGGTACAAGTAAACAAAAAAAAAAAAAAAAAAAAAATTGGACAATTTTAATTGAATAAAAAGAAAGAAAGGTAAAAATACGCGGAATGATGAGCAGTGAAATGTCGTGTCGTCTGTCTCAAGTAGGCGATACCTAGGCATGACTCTGGACCTCTGGACGCGCGAAGCTTGCTTTCTGAGGGCCTGCTGCTGTTGGCTGAGAAGCTGGTGGTACTGCTGGATGGCCTCCTCGGCGCTACCTTGGAGAGCCAGTCGGGTCAGGTACTCGCGCAACTCGGGCTGGTTGGCTAGTAGTTCGCGGCTCATCTGTTGGAGGTTGACGCCAGTCGATGAGCCTGCGGACATGCCCGAGGCAGCAGAGTCCGTCCAAGGGGGTGGTGGTGTGTGCGAGCGTGCTAGAAGTGCGTGATTGTGGTACAGGTACTCCTCGTAAGACGGTGGCAGGCCAAGCTGTACAGGAAAAAAAAAAAAAAAAAAAAAACAATAACGTTTCAGCTGTACCTACCGCGGTAATTTATTACAATTCATTATTACATCGTCCCAGTCTTTTGGAAATCGAGAGAAATCGTACCTTTTCCCTTTTTTCCCGGAAGAATCGTTACACCTACTTGGGTAGGCGATGGAAAAAAGTAATTTTAGCGAGTGAGAATTTTTGTTGTCGTCGTAAAATTTTCTTTAGCCATTGGGGGCTGCAGCAAGTCGAGTTATATTTTTTATGGTCACTGAGATCAGTTAAGATAAGCAGCACTTTGTAATATATACTACTTATCTGCCGGAACGACTTTCAACTGCTGACAACGATATTTCATTAATTTATTTTATATTATTATCTCGCTAGCCAAAGGGTGATGGCCAAGGGAATAGAGAGAGAGAGAGAGAGAGAGAGAGAGAGAGAGATGAAGAAACTTTACGAACTTGTATGCAAATAAACGTGGGTAGTGAACGATGGAAATTTTTATTTTTATTTTTATTTTCCATCGTGCCGCATTCGACCGAATGATTGGAGGTGCTATTAATTGTCATTTCTTAACTTTTTCCTTCCTACGCATATTTCTTGTCGAAAAGATTACTGGTTTTTTATTTATTTTTTTTTTATTTAAATACCTGTCTATGAATGTAGTCTTACAATTCCATAAGATATAAATTTCACTTTTATAAACATACAAGATGAGATAAGGTAAATGATGAGAATAAAAAAAAAATTGCCTACCTGCCAAGACTTGGCGACCGCCACGTCATAAGTTGGAGGTGGCGAGGTCATCGAGGGCAACGCGTAGATAGGCTGCTGTTGGCTCGGATTAGCCCCGTTGTTTCCACTGCTCGGTACGTTCGTCGAGGATTGTATCGGGGGCTGCTGCTGTTGGCCCCCCAACTCGTTTTCGTTGTTCGCATCGGTGTCGTCGATGGTGCAGTAGAGGGCCTCGGCGACCGATCCGTTCTCCCGTAAACCGAAACTGAGGATGCTGGATCCCGAATCTGTTGTGCACGTAGATACAAAAGTATAATATCGCCGTCAATAGACAATAGACTATTATTAACTTGTGTTAATAAAGGGTCCCGTGTGTTCATCACTTACTTACCGATGTACGTGTAGTGCGAGTGCGACTCGGGCCTCTCGGCGCTGCGGGACCGTCTCCCATGGTGCCGGTCCTTTTTTTTGTTATTGCTGTTATTGCTGTTGTAGTTGTTGTTGTTGTTGCTGTTGTTGTTGTTATTGTTATTGTTGTTGTTGTTGTTGTTGTTGTTGCTGTTGTAGTTGTTGTTCTTGCCGGTGCGTCGCGAACTTTCGACGACGGAGCTGGTGCTTCCGGTATCCGTTGTCCGGCTGTGGGGTCCGCGAGCGCGTTGCTGCAACTCGACTGGCAGCTTAGCTGGGGGCCTGCCCTCGATCCTACTGCTCGGCTGTGCGACCGTCGTCGTCGTCGTTGTTGGGGGGCCCTTTTGTATTAGAAGGGCTAGATCACGCGTCGAAATGGTAGCGAGGTTGCCGCTCCGTGACTTGGGCAAATCCAGGACGACCCCGCAGCCGCACACTGCCGTGTTGTCGTTAGGCATCCTAAAATATTATTGTAGTTTTACTTATAACAATGAGGGGTACTTTGTAGATAGTAGTAGGTGCATTGTTCTTGTGTATAACTCATCTGTTGATTTTACGTGCCCTCATCAGTAAGGGTTATTGGGACTCCAATCAAACAAACTATCGGTAAATGAGTATTAATATTATGTCTTTCTTTATATTTTTTTCTCAAACGCTGTTGCTCATAGTTCTTTTTTGTTGAAACACAAGTTGTTTTACACCTATTAAGGTAAAAGTACTAGTTACTGGCCACTTAGTAGCTGTTATCAAAAGAACATCATATATTTTAAACAGCTTTTAAAATTTTAACTTCTGTTAGGTATCATTTGAAAGCTATGAATGTATTGTAAACTATACGATAAATAGAAGTCGTATATCCGACCGTAGACAATAATAATTTATAACAATCTGAGTGTGTCAGATGCTTTAGTACATGGCCACTGAAAAAAAGGGTTGCTTTAGTGGCCCAAATTTAAGAGCCAGTAAATGGCCACCCCATGCTAAATGTACATAAATCGAGGTGGTCGGCTACTAGTGCTCGCAGAAATGAGGTTATGTACAAGTGCTCTAGTACTAGGCCACCACTTTTTCAAAATTATTTTTTAAAGCCTTGAACTAAAAAAACTATCTTCATTGCATTTTAAAATGAATTATTGATAAGTTTTTACAGTAATGTTATCCTGGCACGAATTAGTATTAAAGTTAATTCTTACAATTCGTGAAATGGTGTTGGTGGCCAGGTACTGGTCGCGGCCAGTAACTAGTGCCTTTACCTTAAGGTAAATGTACCAATGCTTGGCCACCAAAAAATTGGTCCCAAAGACTGGTTACAATCACAATTTTACGATTCGCACAAATTTTTGCAGCTGTAAAAAATATTTTTATTAATATTCACGCTTACAGATTATATGAAATTCATTATTAATAGTTATCTCGATGATACTTTAACCAAGAAATTAGAAAAAAGTGTTTCTAGAAAGTGATTTTGGTTGGCTGGCCAGGCTTTGGGACATTTTTCAACGTAACCTCACTTTTAGTGTGTCCTAATAACTGGCCAATGTTAATTGCGTGCAATTCATACGACTGGCCAGTTATTGGAACTTGCAAGTTTCAGCTACAGGGACAAGTTTTTCCTACAGTGGCCAAGAATTGGCACATTCCATCATGTTCAACAATAAATAAAAGCTTTTTTTCTGTGTATGCAAAAAATTATTTCTTTTTGGTACAGCTTAAAATAGTGTTATAATTATAAAATAATACCTATTAGGACTTGAAATTTTACTTTTTTTTATATTNTATGCAAAAAATTATTTCTTTTTGGTACAGCTTAAAATAGTGTTATAATTATAAAATAATACCTATTAGGACTTGAAATTTTACTTTTTTTTATATTTATGGAGTACTTTAGAAATTGGTCTACTAAGATGGCCAACGTATGGCTACGTACATATATATATATATTAAAACGAAAATCGGTAAAAAAAAGGAAGAAAAAAAATTTGTGAAAAGTGAGTAGGAGGGAGGTACTGGGAAAGAAGATAGACAAAGATACAGAGTTCAAGAGAGTATGTATATTATACGAATTAACAAAGTTTGCGAATGACTTATGCCAACCTACTAATTACTTGAAGCTTGACTATTCGCCTGCAAGCCAGGAATGAAGATTTTCTCTCTTTGTGTATGTGCGCGCGCGCGTGCGTGTGAAGGATTGTTTACAGTTACGATGTATGTTAACTGTTAACATACACGTTGATAATTTAAAAATCTTAACTATATACAATGTATACGGTCTCTCAGTGTATACCAATGTACCCATAACTTGACTGCCCCGTTAATGGGCCAACTACTGTAATAAATCAAATTATATGACGTTTACATATCATAATAGAGATGTGCATATGGGAGGGGACAAACTTTCCCGAGGCGGAATTTCGAGCGCAAATTTTGTACCAACTTTTTTTTAAATTAAACAATGTTTTCTTTTTTCTCTCCTTTCCAAAATCTCTATACCCGCGTAGCTAATCTAAAATTAATTTTTCTTATCGCAGAAATGGAAAATGTGTAAAATTGCATTGCCAGTGAACTCTCGCGATAAACTTTTCCATGCACCGAGCTACAACATCATCGGTTTTGGGTTTTAAAAATGAAGACTTTACCAATTTGTCTACTTTGTTTGCATGGAATATCTGACAAAGGAAGCATTTAACCCGATCGATCGAAATGTTGAATCAAACAAACCCTGTCCCTATTTCCGTCGGCGTGTATATACGCAGTATTTGTTACAACGCAAAGCAATGAATTGTCAAGATTAAGCGAATCATTGATCAATCGGCAATGAAAGATGAGAGCTTTGTATACACTGCACACGCTACTTTTGCATCCCTACATTACGCGGATCAATGCTTAGTATTTATTTGAAAGTGGGCGACACACGAGTGCATGGGGAGCCGCAGCATACATATATATAAAATGTTATGTAACCTGCATCAAGAGCACGAAGAGAAAGAGAGAGAGAGAGAGAGAGAGAGAGCACGAGCGGAAAGTCGGCTATCGGAGCAAAGATCAAGAGCTGCGTGGGGAGAGAAGCAGCACGAGGTAATGAAACCGGGTCATGCCGGGAAGCGGTGGGGCCAGGGCATCGCCCACCCTTTGGAAACTGGGTCGCTCTTCAACCTGATTTCTCCCTCTTTCCGAGAGAGGCGCCAACCCCCTTTCTCTTCCTCCCCCCTCGTGGGGTGCCCCGTTGGCCCATTTTCTACTACTGCTGGCCACCTTCCTCGGATCAGTCCTTACGGGGACGACCACATTTTCTCCTCCCCTGGCTTCGATTTGCATATTACAGAGCGGCAACCCAATTTTTCCGTGTATTCAGCACCGCTTCGCGGCCCATGACACGAGGATCATCGATCCGAGCTGTTTTGGGAACTTTTGCACCCAACAAGTGTTGGTTAAAGAGATATAAATTAATAGAATCATCCTCGGTGCGGGACCACGGACAGCAGTCAGCTTTATCCCCTCCCCCGATTTTAACACAGCAGGTGTGTTAATTTGAGGATTACAATAGTAGTTTTCGTCGGATAAGTGCCATCGTCTCCGGGGCTATTTTGCGGCCCAATGCACCTGCGAAGCAGAGCTCAAGGGACGTAAGGTATAGCTACGGAGCCATGGTGCTTGTGTGGCGAATGCTCTTTTTCCTACCGAGGGCACACCAGCCTCTCAAAAACGCCCGAGGTTATCCGACGAAAACTACTATTATTTTACCACCTGTGGTACTCACGTGTAATTGTTGAGAACGGTTTACTTCAATTCATTATATTATAATTATACTTTCGTTAGACAATTTTTTTTTTAGCCAACAAGTAGTTTGAATGGTCCGCCACTTTTAGTAATTTATATATTAATTGTACCAGATGTATTGAGTTTAATCGTTATTTCGCCTAGGGGAAATATCGGGGGTTTGGGGATGAGGGATGATTCCGATTTCTGTGGTGCTGATCTATATACAGATATATTTGGTTATTGGATAGTAAAAGACAGAAATATCAGGCGCCACAGAAATCGTAATCATGCCGGGGACGAAAAGGGCTGCACATTTTTGTGTACACTGAGACTAACGTGACAGTCAATTTCGCAAGATATCGCGCATATCGAAATGGAATAATGCGCAGAAACAATCATGGATTTTATTTGTTAATTAAATATCAAAAGAAGAGGAGTATTATATCCCAATGTGTCATAAGTATGGAACAAATTCGTATAATGTTTCGTCTACAAAATATTATGTGATCGTGACATTTTGACCTCAGGAAGGAAAAAAAAAAATAGAAATTTACGTAGCGCTTACACGCAAGACTTTACTCGGAAGACAAACTATAACAACACACACGTAAGTATACGATAACCGTGACGTAAACACGTGTGTAATCGTACCTTGATGGTGCACGCGCACACACACACACACGCATATATATATATATATATATATATATATATATATCGCTACACGCACATAAATATATCACCCAGGGAGAATTTCTGTTTGCGCGTAAACACACAAGGCTTAAATTTTGTGTCTCAGCTTCGTCCATTATATCATTCTTCTCCGGCCAACAACAACTGCATGCTCAATGGAAGTATGCCAGATGTATGTTTTTAAATTTTTTAGAGAAAAAATTTTTTTTTTATTTCACGTTTGGAGTACGAGACTATTTTGTACACTGAACGTTATAGTTGCAATAAGTTTAAATTTCCTTTTATCCCTCATTTCAATAAAGATGATTATTTTCAACCATTTGAATCATAAGTTTCTGATGCCTTGTCATCGCTTTTCCAGGGTATACGATTTTGACGACCCAAGTTAAGTTTTAAATTTGATATGATCCTTTTAAATATGGTTCATAATCTCACGGACATAACAATTTTTTTTTTTAATAGGCAAAGATAGGCCTGTATTTAGTATTTTAATACGCATACACAGATTATAAACATTATATTTACAAATACCGGGTTTTTCAATCACAGTGGGTTATTGGGTATACACTACCTTAACTTTTGCGATTTCATTTGTAAAAAAAGATAAAACGAAAGAGCCAGTTCATAATTACATTCAAAGTAATTTCGAGCCAACGCAAGCGCATTTTTTTATTTGAAATCCAACGTCAAGCAAACCTTCTAACAACTCATGATTACTCCAACGAGTACCCGAGAGTGACGAAAATCTTTGGTACAAGAATGGGATGAAGAGAGGGGGAGGGAAATGCAATACAAAGTATCGAGGAGTTGCGAAGCGAAAGGGATCAGGTGACGAGGACTAATACAAAAAGGTGATTTTATTTTATACTTATGATTGCACGTATAGGCTGCAAATCTTTGACGAGTCAGGTTCAAGAGTACTTTCTCTAATCACCAGCTGCAGACTTATTACGCGCGCGTGTGTGTGTGTGTGTGTGTGTGTGTATGTAAGCATGTCTTTTTAAAGAAAAAAA